TTGTGTTGGCACCACAACTACACAGAGCTGTGAGGTACGACCTACTTGTAGCTCCATGCAACCTGGTGTTGACTCAGGAAGCCAAGCGACGAGCTGGTGAGGGGAAAATGGCACAGATTTGGTCAGAGGCAGACCAGTCTCTCGTGTACCCGCACAACAGTGCGCAAGTCCATTCTGCGAAGGAGAACCGTCGTGCTTTTGCGTGTCAATGCAAAACCATGGAGTTCTCTCTCTCCCCGTGGTTACTCAACCAGCACAGTGTCCAGACAACCAGGTCAAACAATTCTGGCATCTTTCAAGAGCCTCCAGAGGGATGCGTCTCTGGTGGATAAGGAAGATCGCCAGGAATTTTGGACTGTTGGAGAGAATAGCCGGCAATAAAGTTAGTATCCAGGTGCGTGTGGAGGTGTTGCAAAGTTCTTACCATGGCATCCTGGGGAGTGGAGACGGAAACGACTACCCTAAAAATTGTGGCACAGCACACAGGAGCGACATCGAGATTTCCAGAGCGATCACAGCAGAGGTACTGCAACAGATTCTGCTCTGGTCGCACTTTCGTCTCACTACAGGGACAATTCCTCTCCGGAAGAACCTGCGATCCCTGAATGAGAGGACAGGTATTCAGACTAACTGATGTCTCTAATGTCCTTTTTCAGCAATACAAAGTTGTATTTTGGTGATCATCGGAGTATAAGTCACACCCCCTTTTTGGGTGAATTTTGAGCGTTCAAAGTGCGGTTTTCACTCCGAAAAATACGGTCACTTCATTTTTAAAGATAGAACATCAACATTCACATACATGTACACCTTACCCATACAAGTAGGAGCCGAGTGGAAGTCAGCAATGCCATCGACAACAGAACATTGAATAGATGTGTTGCTCATGCCCCGTGAGAGTCTGTAACCATGGTTGCAGCTGTACACAGCTCTTAAGTACAATTGGGCGCTGGAGCCACTAGCCATAACCCTTGTACCATCAACGCTCCCATCAATGATGGTAGGTAGAGAACACAGAGCTGAGTACACAATAGCACCAACAACAAGATCAGCAGCACAGACACAAGCAGCAACAGGAAAAGGGCATGAAAGAGATGATTGAAACCCTCAGTGAAAACTGGGCTGGGAACGCAAACTCCAGCTACATGGGGATCTTACTGAAGAGTTCAATCTACATGTACTTTTTCTACACGTTGCCAACCTGTACCCAATAACAGAGGCCAAACAAATAGATGATCACAGACAGACTTTTCAACATGTGCAGTGCACCTATCCAAAAGAATAGCCACCAAACATTTCCAACCTACACAGGTTATGTACATGGAATTTTTTACCTAAAATAAAATATGACCTAAATTCAACCATGCCATGCCACACAGTGTCCAAAATGTATTTTTGGACCTGGAAAACGGGTTTACCGAAATTTCCGCGCTACCGAACCGTTGATTTTGGGAAATACCAAAATTATTACACCACCGAAAATTACCAGTTTACAGGATTTGCACAGATACTGGCTGGAGGTAATTTTAAAAAGCATAGCACAGAAAAGGTGACGGTCTTAAATTCAGGATTGATATAGGACCATGCATCAAGCAATGCGTGCATAAAGCAATGCATCATAAAGCAAGAACTTCAAGTGATTACCTTGACAACTTCCAACATTCATCCACTGGCCAGTTGAAGAATCCCTTGGACAGCTTGCCGTTCCAGTAGCGCCAACACGTGTAAAACCGGCGGCACAAGTCACCTTCCCGCTTGCTTTGTCGATACTCGCCACATTAAATATGATAGAGTCAATAAACTGGCACTCTGGACAGTCAAGCATGGAGAGCACATCACAAGTAAATTAATTACACTGCCTGCATCATTGCTGGTTACAACACAGCTGCATATGCAATTCTGTTCCCGTATACTTCACCGATAAGAACACATCGTAACAATCCGAAGTCTGCTGCAGATTTTAGAATGCTACACAACATGCTGACAGCAAAACCGGGATGGGGTTTCAGTCAAAGGCAGTGGTGGATTGGGGGGGGGGGGGGGGGGGTGTTCCGTGGAGCCACCCCCCAAGGTGTACTGCTGAGCAAAGTTGAAAATATCATGCGTGCACAAAAGCATGTCCATCCGATAACCGTGCAGTTGAGGATTACAGTAGGTTTATGGCGAAAACAGCTTGCTGTCTACAGCATTGGGTACAATCATGTAACTTGCTGTCTACAGCATTGGGTACAATCATGTAACTTAGATATACCAGCTACCAGTGCTTCAGCCATCGAGGCGGCCACGCAACACGATTACAGAAGCGGTGTGCCAGTAGATTGCAATTGATAGAATTACATGTACAGGTGTCGCCTGTGTGGTAAATTGCTTTTTCCGCTGAAGACTGCCAGTGTGTCATAACATGCAATTCCAATAAACACGACCGGATTATCATAATCACAATGGCACAACTTCAATACAACCTGACTTCATAATGTATATTATTATTGGCTATTGAATTTTGGTTAAACTGGAACCCCTGTAGAGATCTCTGGATCTGCCCATTATAGGACCACTACCAAAAGTTCAGGATGCATGTACCTGCGTCTAGACCTACTACCACCCCCGAAAGGAAGTCAACGTCAAGATTATATTTTCACTTCTGTAATACCCAACTCAGTTTGCACAAGCAGAATGAGAACAACTTACACGACATACCTTCACAAGCTGCCCCCTTTTCATAATATCCATTCTTACACAAACATTCGAAGGAACCTATGGTGTTTTTACATGATGCCATTGCCGTACAACCATGGCCACCAGCAGTACACTCATCGATATCTGTCAAAAGCACATGTGCAATACGCATATTATCAACAGTACATGTACATCAACATTTAATATCAGCAGACGCTGTTGACAGAGCATTTGTGGAACGTTTCTACAGTACATTTAGACATCAAAAACATCTACTGTACTACATTCCTACGTTTTACCAAGGATAAATTTATAGAAAAGAAAAAAGGACCAAGGAACTATAAGTTACGCTATAATGTCCACTAACACCACCCTGAGCTGATTGTCTCTGCTGAGTAACGGGTGGTGTTAGTGGACATTATAGCGTAACCTGTAGTTCCTTGGTTCTTTTTCTTTTCTGCATTAACCCTTTACCGGCAGCCCCATACTTGAATGCGTCAACGTTGACGCATTCGACAGGCATACAAAATCATGCCTGGCATGACGGGAAGCATCAGCCCACGGGGATTTCCCGTGGCCCTCAAACAGCCTAGGTATGATCCTATCGGTAGCTGAAGAGATCCACGCGTGTCCCATTTGATTTCATTGAGAACTGCGCGATCGAAAACTTACGGAAATACACGCGCGCCGACAATGCCGTCCGCCTCCGTCAAAACATCGTCGGGTGCATTTTCTCTTGCGCAGTGAGTTCCTTTCGTCCTCGGATGACTTCTCCGACGACGACCTAGCAGTCATTCGCTCTGGGACCGACGACAGATAGATAAATACTTCGTTCCAGCCGCCGATGCAAGCGAATTTCAAATTACGGAGCGGTGCGCACGCCAAGTAAATTCTCACGCAAATATGGGGAGCGCCAGCCGCTGAAGACGATGTCGTCGTGATGTAACTGGAAGAATCTGATGGTGCTTATGGTGGGGAAGCCATGGAGAGCGAATCCCGTGTCGACAGTCTCCCAGAGACGGAATTTTAGCCCATCGACTTTCTACGTACCTGAGTGACGGCAGCGCAGCGCGGCTTGCGTACGACCTTACGGAGCTTTCCGACAGCGATTCTGGGGCGATGCTGCTCTCATTTGCGAGCAAGGCATGGCCACTGAAGTTTGTGATGGCTATGGCGTTCGTTTCCGCTCCGAAGTCGACTTGTTTTGGCAGTATCATGTCAATGTCGGAACTCTGCCGATTTGCATGTGTACAATTTCCGTGTTTAGACGTAGAGGTGCCAATTTAGCAGCGTATGTGTGTGGTATCAGAAAAATAATTTTTTCCATGGTCAAGAAGTAGTACTAGACTTCCAATAAAACATAACTTGCACATACAAAATGTGGCCTCGTTGTGAGTTATTGGTATCGTTCTAAATGTTATGGATTTCATATACAAAAGTAACTTGCCGGTAAAGGGTTAATAGATTTATAAGAAGAAAAAAGGACCAAAGAGCTACAAGTTACGCTAAAATTATTCACTAGCACCACCAGTTACTTTACCTTCAGCTCATGCGATAACATTGCACAACACTGACCAACGGTACTGACGTTCTACACCTAACTGGCAATCAGCTCTAGCACATCTTGGATGCGCCCTCCAACAGCCTTCCGGCTTGGAAGATTCCAAGTTATAGAAATAACATAAGGAGGGGAAGGTGAGCGCAACCAAGATAAGCATGAACTGAAAATCTCAGCTGTAAAGGACATTGGCGGATGTACATGTATGTCGAGGACTTGCCAGTATGTCGAGGACTTGCCAGTATCGTCCTCGACATGTATGTACATCCACCAACGTTCAAGCCTCCCCGGTGAAAACTTTTTCTTCTTCTTTTTCGGTAGTGGTTTTGACAAGAACAGCTTCAACAATCGACTCAAACGGCATGTTCTGGTGGTAACAGAAACATCAAACTTGGCAAGACTTTTTCATCTATCAAAGAAACATAATTACCAAATTTGAAGGAAATCCATAGAACAGTTTCAGTTTTCTTGATAGCAGTAATATGTAAATTTACCCCTGACGACAAAATTGAACTTGACAAAGTATGCTTTTGGTAGCTGCAGATAACTTTGCAGACTCTTCCCATTCCTATCAAAGTATACCCCTGCGAAACTTGAATGAAATCTATCGGGCAATTATGTTTGGCCATAAAACGGTTTGGTCCACCGCACTTGTCAGCCAATATTGGATTCACTAAACTGTGCTCCTAAGTAATTCACATTGATTCAATGTCAAATATCTCATGTTTAGCATATCAACGACATAGCTGGCTGTAATTCTTGAAGAAAGGAAGAAAATCTATCAGGCCAATTTCGGGAAGCACCCCGCAGAGTACTGATATTTTCGGTCCAAATCGAATGAGATTGTTAGTATGGGCAGCCAAGAACCCTCAAAAGAACACCCAGCCACCCTATTTGGCTTGGCTTGACTGCAGAAATCACCGATCAAGTACCTGAAACGAAAACTACAACATTTAGTTTGAACACTACAACAGTAGAGGCAAAATGCTGGGATGTGTTTTTGTGCAAAATGTTCCAAAATACCAGAAATTTCCAATCAGGTTTTAACTATGTGGGCGTGTTTCAATCCTTCCCATTGTTTGGTAGTGACAATATTCTGGTAAGATTAAAGAGCCTTGCAATTTTGAAGAAAATCGATCGGGCCGTTTCTATTTTCCGATTTGGGTATGAGCCACCTGTGTGAAATGATTACTGCTATAGCGCATGTCACATGACTATTATAGTCCTTTCTTTGAAATGAAGTTACATCATGAATATAAACCAGATAACATAATGTTTATTAAAATTAATAGAATGTACCGTATTTAACAGAGTATAAGCTGCACCGAGTTATAAGCCGCATCCCCATTTTTCACCACTAAATACAGACACCTATCCTAAATATCACCGTTAATTTGATCTTCGGAGTATAAATCACACCCCTTTTTGGGTGAATTTTGAGTGTTCAAAGTGCAGGTTTTATTCTGAAAAATACGGTAATTTCATTTTTAAAGATAGAACATCAACGTTCACATACATGTACACCTTACCCATACAAGTAGGAGCCGAGTGGAAGTCAGCAATGCCATCGACAACAGAACATTGAATAGATGTGTTGCTCATGCCACGTGAGAGTCTGTAACCATGGTTGCAGCTGTACACAGCTCTTAAGTACAATTGGGCGTTGGAGCCACTAGCCAAAACTCTTGTACCATCAACGCTCCCATCAATGATGGTAGGTGGAGAACACAGAGCTGAGTACACCATAGCACCAACAACAAGATCAGCAGCACAGACACAAGCAGCAACAGGAAAAGGGCATGAAAGGGAAGACTGAAACCCTCAGTGAAAACTGGGCTTGGAACGCAAACTCCAGCTACATGGAGATCTTACTGAAGAATTCAATCTACATGTACTTTTTCTACACGTTGCCAACCTGTACCCAATAACAGAGGCCAAACAAATAGATGATCACAGACAGACTTTTCAACATGTGCAGTGCACCTATCCAAAAGGATAGCCACCAAACATTTCCAACCTACACAGGTTATGTACATGGAATTTTTTTACCTAAAATAAAATATGACCTAAATTCAACCATGCCATGCCACATAGTGTGCAAAATGTATTTTTGGACCTGGAAAACGGGTTTACCGAAATTTCCGCGCTACCAAACGGTTGATTTTGGGAAATACTGAAATCATTACACCACCGAAAATTCCCGGTTTACAGGATTTGCACAGATACTGGCTGGAGGTCATTTTTCAAAGCGTAGCACAGAAAAGGTGACGGTCTTTAATTCAAGATAGATGTATATAATATTACCTGAAGTCGAGTGAATATGGGCGAATATGTATAGGATATTGACCAAGACGAGGTCTATATGGGAAATATAGGCCGAGTAAAAGACCGAGGTCCGCCGAGGTCTTTTACGAGGCCTATATTTCCCATGTCGACCGAAGTCGAGGTCAATATCCTATTTATCACGATTCCTTTGCCATAACCCCAAAATTTGAACCTGTAGGAGCTATTTTAACCTTTTTAGTATAGCATTTGTACTATAGTGTACATAGGACCTCCACTAATTCTCGTGATCCTTGACTGGTCCTATATTACCCATATCGCCGCAATATCGACCGCTTATATCGACCGCTTGTATCGACCACTAAGGGCCTGGTCAGACTGCGGCAAATTTTGGTTGCCTGACGAAAAAGGAACAGCGTCCAGAATTTGAATCGCGATCACACTACACATGTGGGGAGAGTGAAAATTCAAACTTCATTTCGAGCGTCAAGTGGTAATCTCCATGAACGACGTCAAATTCCTTCACCTTGGGGATCGCCAACACCTTCAGTGCAATCCTTGCAACCATCCTTATGAGTTTTGTTGTTGTCCGTGGCCAATTAGCTCCTCGATATCGAGATGAAAAAATCAGTGATTATCAGCGTCAATGGCGTATCAGCGTCAAATCCTGTTTGGAGCGGAAAAGCGTGGTCCGTTCTTGCTTTTTTTTTGGAGCGTCAACTTTCGCTTTTGCCGCTCTGGCGGCAAGTTACTATGGAGATTCGGATTATAATCCTAGGATTATTTCGATTTTGCCGCAGTCTGACCAGGCCCTTAGGCATTGTAATCTTTTGACTTTGGAGGGACTTAGAATTTTTCTCTCCACTTCAAAAAGAAAAATTGAAAGAAAGAAGACAAAGGAAGAGAACAAGCAGGATTTGAACTCACAACAGTATGAATCTCAAGCAACCCCTTATACCACCCAGCCACTGTGCTGCAGATGCTGCACTCTGTTGTTCTTACAGTCTTGTACCCAAAATAGGCAACATCCTATGTACACTATAGTACAAATGCTATACTAAAAAGGTTAAAATAGCTCCTAAAGGTTCAAATTTTGGGGTTATGGCAAAGCAGTCGTGATAGGATATTGACCTCGACTTCGGTCTATATGGGAAATATAGACCTCGTCTTGGTCAATATCCTATACATATTCACCACTTATGTAGATGGCCAATTGTATGTGGGTGAATATGGAATGAGGTATAAATTAATATTATCATAGGACTATGCATCGAGCAATGCGTGCATAAAGCAATGCATCATAAAGCAAGAACTTCAAGTGATTACCTTGACAACTTCCAACATTCATCCACAGGCCAGTTGAAGAATTCCTTGGACAGCTTGCCGTTCCAGTACCTCCAACACGTGTAAAGCCGGCGGCACAAGTCACCTTCCCGCTTGCTTTGTCGATATTCGCCACATTAAATATGATAGAGTGAATAAACTGGCACTCTGGACAGTCAAGCGTGGCGAGCACATCACAAGTATAATAATTACACTACCTGCATTGCATATCGGAGCTTAGAACTTTGATACAACAGTGTGGATCTCCGCTCTCCGCTCCTCATACAATTCCCACTTCGCATCACAATGCATCGTTGCTTGTGAAATGGGCAATTATTGCCGGTTACAACACAGCTGCATATCCAATTCTGTTCTCGGATACTCGACCGATAAGAACACATCGTAACAATCCGAAGGTTGCAGCAGATTTTAGAATGCTACGCAACTGGGATGGGGTTTCAGTCAAAGGCAGTGGTAGATGGGGGGGGTATTCCGTGGAGCCCCCCCCCCCCTAATTTTCAACGTGTACTGCTGAGCAAAGTTGAAATATCATGCGTGCACAAAAGCATGTCCATCCGATCACCGTGCAGCTGAGGATTACAGTACATTTATGGTCAAAACAACTTCTACAGAATTGGGTACAATCATGTAACTTGCTGTCTACAGCATTGGGTACAATCATGTAACTTAGATATGCCAGCTACCAGTGCTTCAGCCATCGAGGCGGCCGCGCAACACGATTACAGAAGCGGTATGCCAGTAGATTGCAATTGATAGAATTACATGTACGTGTCCACTGTGTGTTTGAAATTGCTTTTTTCCGCTGAAGACTGTCAGTGTGTCATAACATGCAATTCCAACTAACACGACCGGATTATCGTAATCACAATGGCACAACTTCAATACAACCTGACTCCATATTATGCATATTATTATTGGCTATTGAATTTTGGTTAAACTGGAACCCCCTGCAGAGATCTCTGGATCTGCCCATAAAAGGACCACTACCAAAAGGTCAGGATGCATGTACCTGTGTCTAGACCTACTACCACGCTAGAAAGGAAGTCAACGTCAAGATATAATTTCACTTCTGGAATACCCAACTCAGGTTTGCACAAGCAGAATGACAACAACTTACACGACATACCTTCACAAGCTGTCCCCTTTCCATAATATCCATTCTTACACAAACATTCGAAGGAACCTATGGTGTTTTTACATGATGCCATTGCCGTACAACCATGGCCACCAGCAGTACACTCATCGATATCTGTCAAAAGCACATGTGCAATAAGCATAATTATTATCGACAAAACATGTACATCAACATTTAATATCAGCAGACGCTGTTGACAGAGCATTTGTGGAACGTTTCTACAGTACATTTAGACATCAAAAACATCTACTGTGCTACATTCCTACGTTTTACCAAGGATAAATTTATAGAAAAGAAAAAAGGACCAATGAGCTATAAGTTACGCTATAATGTCCACTAACACCACCCTGAGCTGATTGTCTCTGCTGAGTAACGGGTGGTGTTAGTGGACTTTATTGCGTAACCTGTAGTTCCTTGGTCCTTTTTTCTTTTCTGCATAAATAGATTTATAAGAAGAAAAAAGGACCAAAGAGCTACAAGTTACGCTATAATTATTTACTAACGCCACCAGTTACTTTACATTCAGCTCATGCGATAACATTACACGACACTGACCAACGGTACTGACGTTCTAGATCTAACTGGCAATCAGCTCTAGCACATCTTGGATGCGCCCTCCAACAGCCTTCCGGCTTGGAAAATTCCAAGTTATAGAAATAACATAAGGAGGGGAAGGTGAGCGCAACCAAGACAAGCATGAACTGAAAATCTCAGCTGTAAAGGACGTTGGCGGATGAACATGTATGTCGAGGACTTGCCAGTATTGTCCTCGGCATGCATGTGCATCCGCCAACGTTCAAGCCTCTCCGGTGAACACTTTTTCTTCTTCTTTTTCGGCAGTGGTTTTGACAAGAACAGCTTCAACAATCGACTCAAACGGCATGTTCTGGTGGTAACAGAAACATCAAACTTGGCAAGACTTTTTCATGCATCAAAGAAACATATTCACCAAATTTGAAGGAATCCATAGAACAGTTTCAGTTTTCTTGATAGCGGTAATACGTAAATTTACCCCGTATCGACAAAATTGAGAGCACTTAACAAAGTATGCTTTTGGTAGCTGCAGATAACTTTGCAGACTCTTCCCATTCCTATCAAAGTATACCCCTGCGAAACTTGAATGAAATCTATCAGGCAAAGACACACCTGGCAATATGGCGGTAAACACACGCCTGCCCACACACGCTCTCTAGGCTGCAAAGTTCTCCTTCTCACATGTGTGTGGGCAGGCGTGTGTTTACCGCCATATTGCCAGGTGTGTCTTTACCACCATATTTTCATTCTCCCAAATCTATCAGGCAATTACGTTTAGCCATAAGGTTTGATCCACCGCACTTGTCAGCCAATTTTGGATTCACTAAACTGTGCTCCTAGGTACTTCACATTGATTCAATGTCAAATATCTCATGTTTAGCATATCAACGATATAGCTGGCTGTAATTCTTGAAGAAAGGAAGAAAATCTATCAGGCCTATTTCGGGAAACACCCCGCGGAGTACTGATATTTTCGGTCCAAATCGAATGAAATTGTTAGTATGGGCAGCCAAGAACCCTCAAAAGAACACCCAGCTACCCTATTTGGATTGGCTTGACTGCAGAAATCACCGATCAAGTACCTGAAACGAAAACTACAACATTTAGTTTGAACAATACAACAGTAGAGGCAAAATGCTGGGATGTGTTTTTGTGTAAAATGTTCCAAAATACCAGAAATTTCCAATCAGGTTTTAACTATGTGGGCGTGTTTCAATCCTTCCCATTGTTTGGTAGTGACAATATTCTGGTAAGATTAAAGAGCCTTGCAATTTTGAAGAAAATCGATCGGGCCGTTTCTATTTTCCGATTTGGGTATGAGCCACCTTAAGGGGGCAGCCTACCCATAAATTTCATATGGCATTCAATTGACCGTAACTTTGGTGTTTCTCAATGGATTTGAGTGAAATTTTGACCACACACTCCTGCCACTATGCTGGCCCTCAGGACATAATTTACAAGTTCTTGCGCCTCACTGACAGGCTTTCCAGGCCGGAAAAACTCAAATTTTCGGCATAGTGCCACAGTGTGCGAGCCACCCAGGAGCCAAACAAATGCATTTACAATTTTTTCACATTTTCGTGCCCATTCTGTCCGTGCGCGGGACCCAAACCTAAAACAAGTCCAGAAGCAGCCATGGGTGGTGGGGTAGGGCCCCTCAACGTGGCCCTGGAATCTGTCACAACGGAACGAGTGGGCGTTCTCTCACAGACTCCCACAGACCCAAGTCAATTTTTGAATTTTTTAGGTTTAGCACGTGCTACGAGGTCGTACCTTTGATACAACATCCAGTGCTGGGACCTCCACAGCAAGCCATTTCCACAGCGCTGCACACCAAATCCAGGATACCCTCAGAAACCGGCAAAGACTACCACTCACTTTCCACTACTGCCTAGTACTGAATCCTACCTGACTTCTTGACACGACTCAAACTTGCCAAAGTCACTAAATCAACGTCAACTACAATAATCAAGCCACATATCTGCAACGTCACGGGGGTGCTGGCAAAAGTCCTGCTGCACGGCGGCGGGCAAAGCCCGCCGCCGTGCAGCCCAATACGTGGCTCAAAAACCTGATTTTTTGGACTTGGAGCAAAATTCTGCACACTTTCGCGCGTTTCCATGATACGACAAGTTGCGCACGGTCTGTTCACATTCAAATACAGTGCTGCCAACAAATGACAGCGTGCAACAAAAAAATCTTTCCTTCCAAGGGCACATTTTAGGCCATAACTCTTGAACGGCTGGTCAGATTGGGACACAATTTTCAGAGAATTTGCAGCTATTCACGCTCTTTCAACTGACGTAGCACTCAATATGAATTTACAAATTCGATTTTTCAGCGAATTTTGGGTAGTCTGCCACCTTAATGTGACATGACTACTGGTATATCGCATGTCACATGACTATTATAGTCCTTTCTTTGAAATGAAGTTACATCATGAATATAAACCAGATAACAGTCATAATGTTTATTAAAATTAATACGATGTACCGTATGCCACTGAGTCTGCACCAGGACCTGCAGCGTATCGGGGGTCACTCAAGAAACGCGAGGAACTTGAGAACCTCCATGCCATTGCCCAATCACGACAAGACTGGAAAGACCTATGCAGCAATGTGATAAAAGCATACATCAAAGCCTAATACTGCTTCCACCTGTGGCAGCTGCATGGCTGTACGGTGTACCATAACAAAACTCATTGACTAACATATTTCGTGAAAATATTACCTAGTCCTGTGAAAGAATAGGAATGTAAACAACATACCTGTTAAAACACAACCTTTAAAATGCTTCTAACACAACCTGTGACTACAATAATCATGAAATCAACCCCAAAACATTTCTTGCAGTTTACTTTCGTAGAGTTTGCGACTTTGTGTTCCTCAACATAACTTGCAGCTTCCTTCAAAAATGCCCTCAACCTTGGTTCTGTCCTAGATCGTATATACATGCATTCATTGTTTCGTCTCGTCATCATGGAGCAGCTTATGCGAAGGCTAGCCAAGCTTGCTTGGGGATGCCAACGCGGAAAAGCCTATAATAATGTTGAATACGAAAAAGGACGACTGACGACACATTATCCAGACATTACAACGGGAACAGGTAGGTTGGTGGAACGACATTTATTAGAGACGGGACAAGAGACCAAGACGAACGAAACGACTACATGGTGATTATTGAAGAGTGAGAAAAGAGAGAAAGAGATCAAGTCTGAACGACAAGATAAAGGGCCTGGGTAGCTATGGCAAATATGGGCGCGCAAGTAGCTACCCAGGCCAGCGGAACAAAAGGAGACAAAAGGTGAGTACGCAAGTGCATGCAGGCCAGCTAGAAAAGGTACGGGAGGAGGTACCTAACAATAATAATAATACTTCCTCCGCGTCATCGAAATTGTCGCAGTTTGACTAGTGACTTGTCACTTGTTACTGACAACTCCATAAGCTGAGACATTCAAAACTCATTACACAGTATGATAGTCTGAAGACTAGAGTAACGTTCCAGGAGAGTTGGGCTGAGAGTTTTCATGCAGAAATGAAGTCCTCATCATCGCTGATGTCAATGGACGCAAAAAATATCGTTCCGAAATATTTCAAGGAGGTTGAAAGTTGGTCGCGCCTCATCTCAAACGCTTTGACTTTCTCCACAGGACAAGAGCTGCTATGCTTGTCCTCTGCTAGCTCTGGATGATTTCTACTTCACCACCAACGAAGCCTAGTAAGAATACACGATCGTTGCGAGGTCGGTTGATTACCTTCAGCGGAATCACCTCGATCTTGAAATGAACTTTTTTTAGCCATGGCATGCCCATTTATTTTAGCTGTGTGGTCACAGCTCATGCTGCATGCAGGTAAATGTACTATCACGTCCAGCGCGCCCTCTTTTTCAGCATCACTGGTACGGCACCTGCGCGTGCATCACTAGCACTACGTGTAGAGTCTACACGGCTCTTGCAGGTACAATCATGTACTGAGTGTCTCAGCCAGAGCGACAAATTTTATCGCCGTTGCAGGCATTTAGTTTGCTGACCCCTCGATGTTTCTTCAAGCGCTGCTACTTGTTCCACGAAGTCATTCTCACCCCAGCTAAGGTAAAACAGTGATGAGGCTTGAGTGAATGGCCATAAGCACGAGAAATGTGCAGGCTGCAACGCCTGACTGATCTCAGCGAGTCGAAATCACCATCACAGCGACATCAGCGAAGAAATTGTGTCTAGTTCAAAATTTCCAGCTTCCAATAACAGAAAATAGAACTTTGCCGTCACCCTATACTGATGACTATCGCCTATGTCCGATTCCTTGCCTCTGGTACGAGTGCTGGTGAGTAAATATCCTGTTTATATCAAAAGTCAAACTGCGACAATTTCGATGACGCGGAGGAAGTAATAATAATAATAATAATAATAACTGGTTTGAGGGAAAGAGACATATAATAATAATAATAATAATAATAGCAATGAAAAATATCAATTGTGCACTCATAATCATGTATAAACAATTAAAATGAAACAATTCCAGAACGTTTTCGTGTGACCATCATCAGTGGAACATCGTCACATAGTAAGAATCACTAAAACAACCAGTTATATAGCTAGAGTAACATGAAAAGAAGCGTGAGAATGCAGCACAGCTAGCGGTTATGCATAACGCGTGTAGTGTGAACCTTTGCAGTGTATCTGAGAATGGTAGCAGTAGATGAATGTGGCAGCTGTGAGTGCGTGTGAACAAAAACTGGTGAGTGCGTATTATTTAAAAAGTGTGAGTGCTACAACATTTTCTTTTTGCTTGCATGCTTGCATATTCTTTATGCAAGCAAAAAGAAAATGTTGTAGCACTCACACTTTTTAAATAATACGCACTCACCAGTTTTTGTTCACACGCACTCACAGCTGCCACATTCATCTACTGCTACCATTCTCAGATACACTGCAAAGGTTCACACTACACGCGTTATGCATAACCGCTAGCTGTGCTGCATTCTCACGCTTCTTTTCATGTTACTCTAGCTATATAACTGGTTGTTTTAGTGATTCTTACTATGTGACGATGTTCCACTGATGATGGTCACACGAAAACGTTCTGGAATTGTTTCATTTTAATTGTTTATACATGATTATGAGTGCACAATTGATATTTTTCATTGCTATTTTACGACTGTTGTCTCCTCGTCGGTTATTTAAATAATAATAATAATAATTAAAAAGCTTCCGTGGAGATAAAAATGTAATCAACGCAATAAATAGAGTAAGCTGCGCACTCAGTACAAACACCATAAGCAAAACTTGTTTTCATGTAAATAAAGAAGCTTGCTCCTAAACGTTTTCGTCGCCATCTCATCAGAGGATTACTGGCAAATCAACAAAAGCTCTTAACTCAATATATATACGCACAATGCAAGTAATAATTTAGACCCTAACTAGCGCGATAAAATGAGAGCTGAAAGAAACATTACACCATTCAACGATATCAGGAGCAAGCTTTAGGAGCAAGCTTCTTTATTTACATGAAAACAAGTTTTGCTTATGGTGTTTGTACTGAGTGCGCAGCTTACTCTATTTATTGCGTTAATAATAATAATAATAATAATATTAACTGGTTTGAGGGAAAGAGACAAACGGGAAAAGTCTGAAGAAAAAATTGACTGTCACCACCAGGACTCGAACCAGGGACCCTCGCTTGTAGCCAGCGATGCTCTAACCACTGAGCTATGGTGTAGTCGTCATCCCAGCAGAGGCCGTTCAACATTTTCTTCAGACTTCGTAACTCACACTTCCTGTGAATCCACACAGGCGGGTGGGACGCAGCCCTCACTGTAACCCACACACTTCACGTACAAACTAGCACGCGGGGAGCCCCAAGTCATAAAATATTAACTGGTTTGAGGGAAAGAGACAAACGGGAAAAGTCTGAAGAAAAAATTGACTGTCACCACCAGGACTCGAACCAGGGACCCTCGCTTGTAGCCAGCGATGCTCTAACCACTGAGCTATGGTGTAGTCGTCATCCCAGCAGAGGCCGTTCAACATTTTCTTCAGACTTCGTAACTCACACTTCCTGTGAATCCACACAGGCGGGTGGGACGCAGCCCTCACTGTAACCCACACACTTCACGTACAAACTAGCACGCGGGGAGCCCCAAGTCATAAAATATTAACTGGTTTGAGGGAAAGAGACAAACGGGAAAAGTCTGAAGAAAAAATTGACTGTCACCACCAGGACTCGAACCAGGGACCCTCGCTTGTAATAATAATAATAATAATAATAATACTTTAAAACGAAGGTAAGTTATGGGTCGCAAATATCCACGCAAACACACATCCATTATAATAAGGCACTTGTCATAAGTATCCGAACGTTTTCGGTCCCTTCTCATCAAGGATTAGACAGGGAATGGCTCAAGCTGGAAAGACTAAAACTTATATAGCGTAAAGATAATTAGATAACAACACTCGTGACAAGGTGGAAAATTATCAAGTTTAGCACGACACAAAACTCGAAGGAAAATAATACTGGTGACAACAACATAGTGAGCAAATTAAGTTACATTGTTACCACCTCGACGAGGAGTAACACCAAACAATTGTAGCGACAACACATTTTCTTTCTGTACGCAAAGTTCAGGATCTAACTTACGGATATACAAAGCTTCTAACACAGCCAAATGTAACGCACATCTACCACGTGACAATATTGAGAAAACATTATCACTGTACAACTCACGACAATTGGTACGGGCTGACAGATGTTGCTTGATTGACGAAGTGCGATTCTTAGCTCCATTGGGTGTTGTCTCCTCCAATGTCTCGTCGAGGTGGTAACAATGTAACTTAATTTGCTCACTATGTTGTTGTCACCAGTATTATTTTCCTTCGAGTTTTGTGTCGTGCTAAACTTGATAATTTTCCACCTTGTCACGAGTGTTGTTATCTAATTATCTTTACGCTATATAAGTTTTAGTCTTTCCAGCTTGAGCCATTCCCTGTCTAATCCTTGATGAGAAGGGACCGAAAACGTTCGGATACTTATGACAAGTGCCTTATTATGACTGGATGTGTGTTTGCGTGGATATTTGCGACCCATAACTTACCTTCGTTTTAAAGTATTATCCGCCTCCGACCTCTTTTAAAAAAAAATAATAATAATAATACCGTATGTAACAGAGTATAAGCAGCACCGGAGTATAAGCCGCACCGGAGTATAAACCGCATCCCCATTTTTCACCACTAAATACAGACACCCATCCTAAATATCACCGTTGATTTGATCTTCGGAGTATAAGTCACACCTTTTTGGGTGAATTTTGAGTGTTCAAAGTGCGGCTTTCACTCCGAAAAATACGGTAACTTCATTCTTAAAGATAGAAGTAATCTATGTGGAGATAATAATTTTAATATAGCTATGAATAGGATGAACAGCTGACTTCTTACGATCAACACATTCATCCGCCTCATCCCGCTCCTTCCCACCCGACTCGTAAGAAGTCAGCTGTGTATCTACACTTGTTATCTCGTCCTGACTGTCTTGGTGTGTATGATGACTCTCATTTTTCTGTACTGCGTCGTGCGCGTTATGTCCAACAGTTGAAAGTCCTTGAGGCAGTTTGTATACGTATTCATAAGCCTGTTTTGTGTAAGCAGAAAGAGCACGGTTGTTGCACTGAAGTTGTATTCGTAGGTTGTCACTTCGTTCAGTGCCTTCTCACCTTTGGTTACGTAATCTTGTTACCTTTTTGCGTTTCCTCTAGTGGTTTTATTGCCCTTGTATCTTGATGTTATTTCTAACACCTTTCTATTTACAGTGCTTAACTTCAGTTTCTTTGGTTGTATTCTTAGTTCCGTATTTTTTCCCACTGATGATAGGAACAAGAAAATCGATTCTGGGTTTTCAATAATATTTTTGTTATAAAATACACAGTAATACATGTCAAACAAGTAACGTAGTTGCGTGATGTCTGCGGCCTTCATCCTATTTAAAGATAGAACATCAACGTTCACATACATGTACACCTTACCCATACAAGTAGGAGCCGAGTGGAAGTCAGCAATGCCATCGACAACAGAACATTGAATATATGTGTTGCTCATGCCACGTGAGAGTCTGTAACCATGGTTGCAGTTGTACACAGCTCTTAAGTACAATTGGGCGTTGGAGCCACTAGCCATAACTCTTGTACCATCAACGGTCCCATCAATGATGGTAGGTAGAGAACACAGAGCTGAGTACACCATAGCACCAATGACAAGATCAGCAGCACAGACACAAGCAGCAACAGGAAAAGGGCATGAAAGGGAAGACTGAAACCCGCAGCGAAAACTGGGCTGGGAACGCAAACTCCAGCTACATGGAGATCTTACTGAAGAATTCAATCTACATGTACTTTTCTACACGTTGCCAATCTGTACCCAATAACAGGGCCAAACAAATAGATGATCACAGACAGACTTTTCAACATGTGCAGTGCACCTATCCAAAAGGATAGCCACCAAACATTTCCAACCTTCACAGGTTATGTACCAGTAATTTTTTTGCCTAAAATAAAATATGACCTAGATTCAACCATGCCATGCCACATAGTGTGCAAAATGTATTTTTGGACCTGGAAAACGGGGTTACCGAAATTTCCGCGCTACCAAACGGTTGATTTTTGGGAAATACCGAAATTATTACACCACCGAAAATTCCCGGTTTTACTGCATTTGCACAGATACTGGCTGGAGGTCATTTTTCAAAGCGTACCACAGAAAAGGTGACAGTCTTAAATTCAAGATAGATGTATATAATATTACCTGAAGTCGAGTGAATATGGGCGAATATTCACTAGTGTACAAACCGAGGCGAAGCCGAGGTTTGTTTAACTAGTGAATATTCGCCCATATTCACGAGGCTGAAGGTAATACATGTATTAGACTTATACGTTTCCATATTCACCCTCTCGTCCCCTAAAACCCAACAAACGAGTCCTGTTGGTCATACATGTACATGTACGCATAACTAATGTAAGTCGTTGTTGCTTCAGTATCGTAAACCGACTGGCGTGTTCTTGCATGAATCGGAGGGCGGCGTGTTCAGAATCTTGTTCAATCGATCGTGTACACGTGCCGGTGCATGTGGCATGGGAGGTGACGACCTTGGAGAACACGCTTGTGTCAATCACCATGGAGAACACGCTCGTGCAGCTTTGTGGCGGGAGCCAATCATTAGAGAGGTTTCGTTTCACGCGAAGATTTGACCAATCCGAGAGAGGTTTCATTTCACGCGAAGATTTGAACAATCTGCGATCATCGCGCCAATTCGGGAGTCGGTTTATATACAGCGAGCCAAGCGGTTCTACCCTCACTTCTTTTCTTTTCAGGCAGCGCTTCGGAGCTGTTGTGTGCCCTAGGAAAATTCTACGCTAACGTCCGTGAACAGGGCTGTTCTGAGTACAAACGAAATTCCTGGCTTGCCGCTTGATCCGCAATCACCGATTGACATGTTGAGCGTCCAAAACCTTGTTTGCTCGCTGGAACGCTCCATCTGTGAAGATGCTCACTGTTGGTTGATGACTTGTCAGCACCTGGTCACATGCAGATCCAGCGGCAATAATGGCAAGCAAGGAATTTCGTTTGTACTCAGAAAAGTCCTGTTTATGGAAGTTAGCGTAGAAAATTTCTAGGGCCCTCGACAGCTCTGGTGCGCTGACTGAAGAGGAATCAAGCGCAGCACCGAGTACTGCTCTCTTTACAGTAAGTATCGAAAAGTGGTGAATATAAGCGGTGAATATTCAGCAATATTTACCACTTATGTAGATGGCCAATTGTATGTGGGTGAATATGGAATGAGGTATAAATTAATATTATCATAGGACTATGCATCAAGCAATGCGTGCATGAAGCAATGCATCATAAAGCAAGAACTTCAAGTGATTACCTTGACAACTTCCAACATTCATCCACTGGCCAGTTGAAGAATTCTTTGGACAGCTTGCCGTTCCAGTCCCTCCAACACGTGTAAAGCCAGCGGCACAAGTCACCTTCCCGCTTGCTTTGTCGATACTCGCCACATTAAATATGATAGAGTCAATAAACTGGCACTCTGGACAGTCAAGCGTGGAGAGCACATCACAAGTAAAATAATTACACTACCTGCATCATTGCTGGTTACACTACCTGCATTGCATATCGGAGCTTCGAACTTCGATATAACAGTGTGGATCTCCGCTCTCCGCTCCTCATACAATTCCCACTTCGCATCACAATGCATCATTGCTTGTGAAATGGGCAATTATTGCCGGTTACAACACAGCTGCATATTCACATGATTCTGTTCCCGGATACTTGGCCGATAAGAACACATCGTAACAATCCGAATTTTGCAGCAGATTTTAAAATGCTACACAACATGCTGACAGCAAAACTGGGACGGGGTTTCAGTCAAAGGCAGTGGTGGATCGGGGGGGGGGGGTCCACTGTGTGTTAAATTGCTTTCTGCACTGAAGATTTTCAGTGCATCATAGCATACGATTCCAACTAACACAATCAGATTGTCGTAATTACAACTGCACCACTTCAATACAACCTGACTCCATATTATGCATATTATTATTATTGGCTATTGAATTTTGGCTAAACTGAGACCCCTGCAGAGATCTCTAGATCCGCTCCTAAAAGGACCACTACCAAAAGGTCAGGATGCATGTACCTGCGTCTAGACCTACTACCACGCTAGAAAGGAAGTCAACGTCCAGATTATAATGACACTTCTGGAATACTTACCTCATGTTCCTCACTGAACCCATACACACATCCGTTCTTTCCTACCAGACACTCCCTTCCCACTCACCAGCATTCTGGTCCACCCCAGCTCACACTCCTATCAACAAACTGTCGTTCTGTAGTTCTGTAGTGAATAAGTGTACAGAGCTTACTATAGTTGCTGAAGAGTGGCAGCCTGACATAATCTGCCTAACTGAAACCTGGCGCGACCCGAATATTGCACTTAACATTACGCATTATGACACCTTCCGGAGGGACAGGCCCCCTGCAGAGAATAAGTCCGGGACAAGTGCAAGAGGTTATGGTGGTGTCGTTATCCTTGTTCGACAGAATAAGTTTAAGTCTGTTGCCGCGCGTCCCAATCTAGCTCGCGATGGGTGCGAAGCTGTTTGGGCTCAACTCCAGCCGTATCCGGCTGCAGCAGAGCCGATCCTCCTCTGCTGCAGTTATCGTCCACCTTCTGCTAAGACAACAGATATAGCAAGGTACTGCCAGACTCTCGGAGACGTACTCATTACTTTTCCTCTTTCATCTTCTCACGTTATCTGGACGGGTGATTTTAACAGCAAGCACACTTCATGGTGTTTGACAGATTCCACCAACACTGCCGGTGCTGAATTGTATCGCACGCTCAGTTCTTTTGGTCTTCACCAACTCGTCAACACATATACATACACGTCACCCTCTGGTGTCCAAGCCTGCTTGGATTTGGTGTTTAGTAACCGTGCCAATCTCTCGTCTTGCGTCGAAACTGACTGCCCTCTGGGCGCCTCAGACCATGCCATTGTGTACTGCCAGTTCGATATCCCACTGCCTCAGTCTCCCCGCGAAACAACGTCTCAAGCTCAGGAGCCTAACCCTATGTCTTTCGATCTCCGACACGTTACACCTGCTGTGTGGGAGGCGGTCACTGCAGACTTAGACTCGGTACCTTGGAACTCATTAATATCCTCAGACGTGGACAGTGCACTTAGTAACCTGCACAGTGTCCTGCAGACTGTGCTGTCCAAGTGTGTTCCCCTTCATAGCTCCCGCAAACCAAATCGAACTCCCTCAACCCCAGGGTCTATACGCAAATATCATCCATGGGTTTCCACTGAACTACGCAAGGCTATCAAGTTGAAGTGTGACCTATTCAGCCTCTCCAAGAAATTCCCTACGGACTACAATCTATCAGCAAATAAGGCACAGCGGAACAAGGTGAGACATCTCTCCCGCTGGTGCCACCGCCAGTACATCTGTTCAATCAAAACAACACTTACCTCAGGCAGCACTACGCTTCACCAGTTTGTCCGCAGCCAGCGATCGCACAAAGTAAAACCTGGCATCCCTGATATTGCAAGCCCTGATGGGCTGCTGGTGTCTGACAGCTTCCAAAAAGCAACCATCCTCAACAAGCAGTTTACCTCTGTTGTGGTGCCTGATGACCCACGTTTAGTAATACCCCTCTCCAATATGACACTCGTCTTACTCGCCAATTCACCCACGTTCATACCACTACAGCAGATGTTCGTAAAGCAATCTCAAACCTGAAATCTGGGAAAGTGCCAGGGCTAGACGGTATCACAAACAATATGATAAAGAAGCTAGCTCCTGCGATTTCTTTTCCACTCAGCCGCCTATTTAACCTCTCCTTTACCACAGGCAAGTTCCCTACCGACTGGAAACTGGCTAAAATTGTGCCTATTTTCAAGTGCAAAGGCAGCAAGTCCCAAGCTAGTAACTATCGCCCAATTCCCCTCCTGTCCTGTATTTCCAAACTTTGCGAACGGCTCTTCTTCAATCAATTATATAATCATATTTCTCCTGCTCTGGATCCCGCGCAATCTGGGTTTCGTCGTGGTGACTCGACCGCTCTACAGCTCACCAAGCTGATCCAAAACATTGCCGACCATCATCATATGGGGCGGAAAGTTGCCATGTGCATTTTCGACCTCGAGAAAGCTTTCGACACCGTGTGGCACCGTGCATTACTTGCTAAACTTTCCAAAGTTTTCGGTGTGTGTGGCGCAGCGCTGGAGTGGATTACAGACTACCTATCCGGCAGAACGCAAGTTGTCTTTGTAGGTGGACTTCTCTCAGATGCTTCACCTGTTCTGTCCAGAGTGCCCCAGGGATCCATCCTAGGGCATCTCCTTTTCCTAGTGTATATTAATGATCTTCCCAGTCATGTTGAAGGTGTGTCCTTATTTGCTGACGATACTGCACTGCTCCGGTTCGATGAGTGTCTAGACAGGCTGCGAGACAGTCTCCAGCGCGGTATCAACGAAGTCCATCAGTGGATGACTACCTGTATACTAAGACCTAATATCGCCAAGACTGAGATATTATTCCTGCCGAACTCAGAGCCAACCTATGCATTCACTCTTCCCGCATCCCTCACAGACCTCACAGTGGTAGAGCAACACAAGCATCTTGGTTTGGTCATTGACTCAGACTTATTGTTTAGTAGACATGTCAAATATATCTGTAGCAAAGTCAGTAAAGCTGTTGGCTACCTCGTGTCTCACTGCTCCCACCTACCGCTTGAATGCATTCTCCTTTTTTATCATTGCTATATTCTCCCCATTTTTTCTCTATTGCTCAACCGCCTGGTCATCCCTACTAAGTAAATCGTTAATGAGTACCCTGGAAGTCCACAATAAGAGGATACTGAAAGTCCTTTTCCGCAAACCATCATACTTTCCTTCTGCCGAGCTGTATGATATGTTTAACACCTTCCCCATCTCTGCAGTGGCGGATCCAGGGGCGGGGGGGGGGGGGGGGGGGGGGGCAGGGGGCCTGCCCCCCCCCCCCTTTGAAAATTTCGACCTTGGTCTAGGATTACAGTAGTCAGTACTAGTAGACTGTAGAATGAGCGAAATGACTTGGCGTGTCAAGTGGGTCACGCGTGCTGGGTACTTATCCGCCCGGTGTCACGCACTAGTCAGCACGCTGTGTACAACTACTGTACGCACTGCGGCCTGAGGACACGGCCGCACTTCAAACATGTGAAAAACGTGCCAAAAATGCAGGGCCTGGTACAAAATGCAGCTAGTGCAGCGATCGCGTTGGGCTGAAGTCCTGTACGGTGCTGTCGGCTTCGTCCTTCCTTTTTCTTTTTCACTTATCACAATGTCAGAAACTAAACGCTCTCTCTCTCTCTACTTCGCGTGTAGCCAACGGGTTACCTTCAGATATGCGATGAAGAGGAAAGGGTCTGACATCAGGTCGTTCTTCAGTGATCCGGTAGATAAGAGAGCTCGCGTTGAAGAGCCGTCCAAAGGTCCGTCGCAACCGCTACCAAGTGGAAATGTTCCTGCACTTGCGACATTACCCGAACCTGCTCCTGAATGTGAAGTCATTTCAAGTCATTCCTCCAGTGACAGTTCTCTGCCTGGATCTCCGGTTTCGCACGCCAAGCCCACTGAGAGTATTAGCACTGTTCCAGCGACGGAATATTACATGTATATTTGTGGTAACTTTGTAACATACAAATACCTGCTAGTAGAGTAGTGTCGCCCTAATGCCTGAGTTACACCACAGCTTGACAACACTTCCAGTGCAGTTTGAAAATGTCGTGAGAATGGAATACAGCAGCTCTTCACAACTTCAGGACTTTGTCGTTGTTGTTTTGTTTTGATTGGGGAGGGGGGGGGGGGACGGGTACCTTGGGCCCCCTCTTCGGCCAAATCCTGGATCCGCCACTGCTCTAGTCAAGCGGATCGAAAACTGTGTATTGTTGTTCATTCTATTCGTCTTGACAAAGCCCCACCACACTTGCGTAAATATAACTGGTTTCTTCCCACTCGTCCTACGCGCAATCACTGCACTTTGCCAAAAGCCCGAACATCAGCTTATACCATATCTCCATTTTTCGCTGCCTATTCTCTCTGGCTGGCCCTGCCTCTATCAGTAAAATCGTCTTGTACGCTGAATGATTTCAAGGCCAACATGAAGCTCGTGTTCTAATAACGGCTAATTCTTCATCGAGATTTGTTTCTCTTTGCCTCCAGTAATGTGTAATATTTATTTATCTTTGCTTTGTTTTTCTTTACTGCCATGGCTGGCTACCGCCCCCCCCCCCCCCTCCATATTGGCCTTTATTCTCTGGCCATGGGAAGGTGAAATAAATATAAATAAATAAATGTTTGCACAAGCAGCATGACAACAACGTACACGACATACCTTCACAAGCTGTCCCCTTTCCATAATATCCATTCTTACACAAACATTCGAAGGAACCTATGGTGTTATTACATGATGCCATTGCCGTACAATTATGGCCACCAGCAGTACACTCATCGATATCTGTCAAAAGCACATGTGCAATACGCATATTATCAACAGTACATGTACATCAACATTTAATATCAGCAGACGCTGTTGACAGAGCATTTCAGGAACATTTCCACTGTGCATGTATACCTCAAAAACCTCTATTATACTACATTCCTACATTTACTATTTTACTACATTCCTCGACAAAAATAGATTTTTAAACGGATTTATAATGTACACACTTACCCTCACACGTCGGTGTGCCATTGATCATGGATGGCTGACCGTCAGCTCCGCAAACCACGCTATTGGCACCATTCAGCCGATATCCATTTGAGCACGAAATGCTCAATCGTTCATTGTGCGTGAAGCTCTCTTCGCCTTTGCCAACTAACCCATGACGGGGAGGACTGGGAACTTTGCAACTTACAACTGAACAAAACACACACACACACACACACAAAACAACAACTCGCTCAACATCAGCAATCGTACCACTCAGTCTCTACATAGATAATAACTATGGGGTCAGAAAGTGTGATAAAATATTAACTGGTTTGAGGGAAAGAGACAAACGGGAAAAGTCTGAAGAAAAAATTGACTGTCACCACCAGGACTCGAACCAGGGACCTCCGCTTGTAGCCAGCGATGCTCTCACCACTGAGCATAAATAGGCACAACACTGCTGAACAGATTACTGAACAGATTACTGCGCCACCTATTGCGCCACCTAGCTTGAACAGATCTCCAATGCGAAAAACAACCTTCCAACTCGTACGGTTTGTGGGCTAAGGTACATGTATGACCAAAGAGGGAAAGGTGAGCGCAACGAAAACGAGTCACAGCTAACTCCAACGGCAACAAAATATGTCTACCGTTACTGAGGCCGATGCCGAGACCAGTTGAAGCTTGTAACAGGATTCTAACAAGTTTTCGTACAGCATCAGCTCTCAGTCTTCATGAATCATCGTTGTACTGAGAACCAAGTACAGGTCAGTAACCATCAAAAACCCGGCAAAGCTGGGCCCAGGGAAGCAACACATAAACACTAACTAAAACATCAAAATAATTATGATATCTAAGAATGAATGTGCTAACAACAAGGGTCTAGGTATCAACCGCGAAGGTGTGTGCTGCATCAGCTATGAGAACATGACAATCAAAACACACAGGCATAACTTACACAGCGGAATAGCAGCAGCCATACCTTGCCACAGAGAGGGGCGAGAGTGAGTCGAGTGGTGAGGATGAGAGTGATTGCGAGAGCTAGTGTTATGTTGGTGATAGTCAGATATTGATTAACAAGTTATATAATAGGTGTGCGTAGGTTTCCGTATGCTGCAATAATTGCACCTGCAGATCATAGGAATCCGATGTGCTCTCCTAGCCGTCGTTTATTGAGCATTCAATACTTGCACACATATTAATTTTCTGTTGTGACCCTCTCCACTGCCGTTGTACACATAAGCGGCTTGCCACGAATATGTCAATAATGATAATTCCACGGATATGTCAATAACGATAATACCACGGATATGTCAATAATGATAATACCACGGATATGTCAATAACGATAATACCACGGATATGTCAATAATGATAATACCACGGATATGTCAATAATGATAATACCGGTACATTGGGTACATTTTACAACTTTTTCAATTCTCTGGTTAGACTCGGGTGGAGAGCCAAGGATTAATTTATAAGAAAAAAAGAAAAGGGGACCAAAGAACTGAAAGTTAAACTATAGTATCCACTACCACCACCAGCTACTTTACAACAAGTCCATGCCATAACATTGCACGACACAGTACCGTTGGTCAGCGTCGTGCAATGTTATCGCATGAGCTGATTGTAAAGTAACTGGTGGTGTTAGTGGATACTACAGCATAACTTGTAGCTCTTTGGTCCCCCTTTTCTTCTTATAAATTCTACAGTTCGTAGTTTTATCTGTAGTTGGAGTATGCAGAAACAGAACGTGTAGTATGCTAAACTCACCACTATTGCAACTGGCACGCTTCACAACAGTGACGTTCAGGTTCCCAATGCAAGCCTGTACTCTCATCCAACATTCATTCAAATATGTCAGGCCATCAGAGCCGCACACACTTGCCGCTTCGTTGGGGCATGTTGTTTTGCAGATGCACCTAGCTTCTCCTTCGTCCACTATGCATCTTTTGTTAGCCGGGCAAACATGCAAGAGAGATGAACATGGATCTGCAAGAGGTGAGAAGAAAGCGGTTAAATGGTTGAGTGAAAGCGAGAGGAGAAAAAAAGAAATCTCGACCTGCAACTCATATTATAGCAAACATGGAGCTGAGTGATGTGCTCAAACAAGATTGAACCCTTTGCGAGCCGCCTCATACTTGAATGCGTGGAATTCTACGCATTCAACTGTGAAACGTCAACAGGTCGTAACTCGGTCAAAACTATCTCAAATTCAACAATCCAAATATCCAGGTGGAAGAGAAAACTTTCAGCGTTCCGTTACCGTTAACACCGTGCAAGCAGTCGGGAGCAGTTGATGAACTTGTGTGCATCATTAAGATAACTAACCCTTTCCCAAAGATGCCAAAATGTTTCGCAACTTATGGTTTTCACAACCGTGCTAAAACAAGTACAAGTTGCTGAAATCGCATCCATATTTTCAGGGAAAGCTCCAAAGTTGCTAGCATCGCAACTGTTAAAATAAGAGAGTTCTACCACCAAAAAAAGCAGCAGAAATAGCAGAAGTGCTGCAACAGCAAACTCTATACCCCTTCCTGCTGCGAATCACAACTTTACACAGTGCAAGTAGCCTGCTGTATGCACCTTCCATCATTCCAGTGCACGTAAAAGGGAATGCACAAAACGTAACTACCGTTCATCTATTGTTTCTCTAAAAGGAGTCTGAAACTTTACCTGCCAACCAGCCCGAATTGGCCGGGACCGTCCTGATATCGAGGGTGGTAATAGGCACCCAAAAGAGCATTTGTCGCATGCCTCACGGCTACATTTGTCACATGTCTCACGGCTACATTTGTCACATGCCTCACGGCTACATTTGTCACATGCCTCATGGCTGCATTTGTATACATTTTTATACCTACATGTAGGCATGTCATTGTCCCGAAATGTCAAAATAATCATGATTTCTAAGAATGAATGTGCTAACAACAAGGGTCTAGGTATGAACCGCAAATGTGTGTGCTGCCTCAGTTGTTGTTGTTGTTGTTGTTGTTGCTGTTGCTGTTGCTGTTGCTGTTGCTGTTGTTGCTGCTGCTGCTGCTGCTGTTGCTGTTGCTGTTGCTGTTGCTGTTGCTGTTGCTGTTGTTGTTGTTGTTGTTGCTGTTGTTGTTGTTGTTGTTGTTGTTGTTTTCAAATTGTTGTTGTTGTTTCAAATCTTTATTCTCACGATAGCCAGTGGCCAATAAGAGATAATAGTGTAAGAAAGGAGAAAGAGTGAGGAAGAATTGGGTGGGCAGGGCCTAGGGGTTAATGACTACTTAAGTGTACGGGCAGGGGTGGTTGCCACACGAGCATACAGAGTTGCGTACTTAAGTGTACGGGCAAGGGTGGTCGCTACACGAGCATACAGAGTTGTGCAATAGCAGGGATATCTCGGATTTGAAGGGAGTACGAGAAGGGATTTCGCGAAGCTGGGTGGGCAGGCAATTAAAGTAATGAAGGGCCTTGTACAGGGGAGAATGGAGACAGCGGTCAGTCCGCGGAGTTGGCAAGTGCCAAGTACGAGAGCGACGTAAATTATACGAAGGTTGCACGTTGCTAGCAGTATGCAGCGAGAGTATATGTGGTGGGGCATAATTGTGGCGCAGAGAATGCGCGAAGAGTATATGTTTAACTTTAAAGCGTGAAAATAATGTTGGCCATTTGATGCGATGCAAAAGGTGGGAGTGTTCTAAGTGTGTGTAAAGGGGAAGGTGGAGACATATTCTGGCGGCTTTCCGCTGGAGTCGTTCTAGCCTGTCAAGGGAAGTGTGGGACAACGGTGTGAGAGCATTGCTCGCATATGAGAATATAGGTAGTATGTATGTCTGATAGATGTGAGATAAAGAATCACTGGTGAGTGTAGACCTTAGTCTAAAAAGAATATTGAAAGACTTGAGTGATTTTTTGACTATGTATTCAACATGCTCCGTCCAACGGAGGTCATGCTGAAAGATTATTCCGAGGTGTTTGTGTTTTTGTGCTACGGTAAGCGGACTATTCCTGAGGGTGATCTGGGGTAGCTGTTCAGGGGGGCGGTTATTGTGGTAGAACGGGAGGATGACTGTTTTCTTTGTGTTAACCAGCAGGTGCCATCTTTGAAGCCAGTCTCCAGCTGCTGTGACACTCTGTTGTAGGTTTCGGGTGCAGTCTTGAAGAGTTCTCGCTATAGAAATCAGAGCGGTGTCATCTGCAAATTGGCTACAGGTGGTGCCGGGATTCTCACATGCGTGTGGAAGGTCTATGGTGTAGACGAGGAATAGAAGCGGCCCAAGAACAGATCCCTGAGGGACGCCGGCAGGGATCTCGAGGAAAGGCGATAGGTCGCCATCCACCTGGACCCTTTGCCGACGCCCCAACAGGTACCGTCGAAACCACTCCAGGGCGTTGCCCTGGACACCATAGTGGGAGAGTTTTGCTAGAAGGCCTGCGTGCCACACACGATCGAAGGCCTTGCTTAGATCGAAAAAGCAGGCATTGACGTGTTTCCCGTCGTCTCTCGCAGTGGAGAGGGTATGGACGAGACGGGCGAGTTGCTGCTCAGTGCCGTCTTTCTCACGGAATCCGGACTGCTGGTTGGGCAGGTGGGGTGTGATGTGCTTGTAGAGGAGTTGATGTGCAATTTTTTCTTGGATTTTTGATGTAGTGCTCAAGAGAGAGATGGGTCTGTAATTTGTTGGTTGGGTTGGGTCACCGGGCTTGGGTACTGGAGTAATGGTGGCATCTTTCCACTCCTGTGGGATTTCCCCGGTTTGGAACGATAGATTAAAGAGGGACGATAACGACGGTGCAAGTTCCTTAGCCGCTTCTTTGAGTAGGCGGTTTGGAATAGAGTCGAACCCGGGGCTTTTATTGGTATCAACTCCGCGGAGGAGTTTTTCGACCTCAGCTTGGGAAGTCGAGATTTCTTGAAGGGGACTGAGGATGTCAGGGGTGGTGTTGATGGCTGGAGTTTGCTCATCCGCATTGGCCACGGACAGCTTGCTCTGTGAAATGAAGAATTCATTGAGGGCAGCGGCTTTTTGTGCTGGTGTCGTTGCAGGAGTTGCTTGGCTGACGAGTTCGGGTATGCGTTGTTTTGTAGCTGTAGTTAGGTGCTTCATGAGGCGGTGTAGGGAAGTAGAGGAGGCTGTTGAGTTGTTTACGAAATCCGATTTTGCACGACGCAGGAGGGTGGTGACACGGTTTCTTTGGGCAGTGAACGTGTTCCAGTCGTCGGGCGAGCGTGAGTGAAGGTATATTCTGTGTTTTCTGTGCTTATCCTTGATCTCTTTCAAGAGGCCCTTTGATATCCATGGTCGTGCTGGCACATTCTTCCTGTCCCAAGGGGGGTGAGTGCGAGTAACTTGGCAGTGTTCTTGGGCGATGCTCAGGACTTTGTCGCGCCAGGATCGCCAGAAGGTGTCAACTGGGCATGGGTCGTGTTCGTTTGGATGGTGGTTGAGATTTGTGCGTGAAAGGGCTTCTCGAAGAAGGTGGATAGTGCTGTCTGTCCATGACCAGAATGTGGTGCTTCTGGATCGTGGAGGGGAGTTGTTAATTATGGGGGGCAGTTGATTATTGATGTGGCCACTGATAGTAGTGTGATCGGATGCGCCAAACGGTGGAAGTGATTGGATATGAATATCATTGGTGTGGAGTGAGGAGATAACAAGGTCTAGACATGAGAGAGGTGTTTGTCGGTGGATGTAAGTAGGGAATCTGACATGTTGTGTGAGGCCGTATGTGTGTAGCAGAGTTTGTATGTCGTCCCCAAGGCGATCTGTTCTGTCTGTGGTGAGCCACGCACTGTTCTTGGCATTGAAGTCTCCAAGTAGTAGGAGGTCGTCACCTTCGGCTCTAGCGGTTTTGATGCTTCTTTCCAGTTCCGCACAGAAGAGGGTGCCATCGCTACGGGGTGGTCGGTAAATGTTTGCAACAACGAGGGAAAGGTTACCGGTGGATATTCTCGTCTGCTGCTGTCATTGGTATTGTCAGTACCCTTGTGTTGAAGCGTTCCGCTATGTACAAGGGAACACCACCACCATAGTCCTGTCTGTCAGCTCTGATCAGCTTGTAGCCTGGGATTGCATAGAGACTGTCAGGGTCTGATGTGTCGGCCCAGGTTTCCTGGACTGCAATGACTGATAGTTCGTTCTGAGATTCAGAGCACGAACGGGTAAAGGTAAGTAGCTCGTCCATTTTGTTGAATAAGCAACGCACATTGGTGCTGAGAAAGTTCAAATTCACTGACATTGGTATGGATTTTTTTTTAATATTCTTATTTTTGTTATTTTTGTTTTTTGTTTTTGTTTTTTTTTGTTTTGTTTTGTTTTTGCTGTTCCTGATGGAATTCGCGTTATGCTGTTGGCTTCCTCTTCTTGGCCTTGGAGCGATGCGACGGGATCGCATTGGGCGGTGTCTGTTCCAACTGGTTGTGCTTGCGGCGTCGCTTGCTGTGTGTTTTCCAGTCTCCCTTGTCTACTGTGACTTGTTGAAGTAACGCGAGGCTGCGTTCGTCGTCATCACTGTACATGGTGTCACTCGTGTCGTCGCTGTCGCTCGTGCCTGCATCTCCCTCGTGATCACGAGGCGTGCTGGTCGCAGTGGCCAGCAGGCTGCTGCTTGGTGACACGGGGCTGGGCAAGTGGTCGTCTTTCGTCGACGTGCTGTTGGCTGGGGAGTCCTTGCTTGACTCTTCTTTATCGCTGCCAGTTGATTTTTCATGTTCAAAACTGTCGTTCAGTTGAACCGCCAGGCTCGAAGCTGAGTCCATACGCGGCAGGTTCGTACTGCATGTACCTGCGGACTCTTCGTTTTTACTACCAGTTGGTGATGTTTCAGGTTCAAAACTGTGTGCGGATTGAGCCGCCAGGCTCGCAGCTGAGTCCATACGCGGCAGGTCTGTGCTACATGTAGCTGCAGTATTACCGGTAGTACTGGCACGGTCTGCGTACGTTCCCCTGCGACCCTCCGCTACAGTGCAGTTGTTGGCTGTGTGGCCTGGCTGTGAGCATTTTCGGCAGGTCTGT